TTCCCAAGTTTGCATATGGCCATTTCTTTCAGTCTTTTAAGATTATCTAAGGTTTCTGCCCATCACTCCATATAAAACAGCACCTCATCTCTGTCTTCTTTGCCCATGTTATTTTTCTTCACAGCACTACCTGCATATGTGCACGTGTTATATCTGTCAATATTCACATGCACTCAGTGGTTACCCAGATAGACCTAGAGAATACCAACAGTGTGGAGGTGAGAAAAGAAGCCTGTCAATATGGTAGAAGGAGGGGCAGAACAGCATGTTGTCATGGAACCTGAGGGAGGACACGAAAGAAAAATAGAAGACAGAATGGGAAAAAAGACTGCTAAATTTGGCAGTAAAGAGTTGTTCAGTGCCCAGAGAGGCCAAATTAAAAGCAGTGAGCCAAAAGCCAGACTAAAGGATATAGAATGTTAAAGTATAAGTACACTGGTGCTTTTAGGAGTAAACCATCCAATTGAGTTTATTTATATTGCCTAAAGTAGTGGTTCTCAACCTTCCTAATGCCTCTTAATGACGCCACCCTTTAATACAATTCCTCATGTTGTGGACCCCCAACCATAAAATTATTTTCGCTGCTACTTGCTACTGTTATGAATCATAATGTAAATATCTGATATTTAGGATGTATTTTCATTTTTACAAAGGAGTCACAAGCCACAGGTTGAGAACCGCTGGCCTAGAGTATAAGAAGACAAAACACTAGTCAAAATGGACAACACGAGCAAGCAAACAGCTTTCTAATTAATAAAACCCACAAGAGTTATTTATGGAACTGAGAGCAATGTGACTCTTTCAGCATGTCAACTACTATGTAAAACAAGGTTATTGAAATAGTGTCTTAACTGTAGAAGATATAATAATATCCAATACTTATAATCCTAAATTACATTTTCTAGTCTTCATTCAACCACCAATTCTCTGTAAATACTGAGAGAACATTTAAATTCTTGTCCTCTGCATTAAAAATAACAATTAATCTGCATTTCAATAAAAAAACTAAAGTTATGTCTTCCTACTTCATGAAAGATATCAACCTGTCCAGTTTACACTCCTATCCAGTTTACACTATGTATCATTACTTCCAAAGTAGCTATAAATCTTTTTGTATTAGTATATTTTCTCCTTAGAACATTTATAAAGAAATTTTCTCAACAACTATTTCTGAACTTAATATTTTTAAAGAACAGAGAAAAGACAATTCCTTGATTTAATTATAGCAAATGTTACTTTAGCATGAAATATTTCCCCCTTTTATTTCTTCCTTCATGCTTCATCATTGCCAAATTTAAAAACTATTAACAATGTGATGATGAAAAAACCTAGGGATGAAAGCGTTTAGAGATATCGATAGTAATAGCTGACATTTCAAAGTACTTTGTGATTTATACAGCTCTTTAACATACACTGCCTCATTTAATTATCACATCACTCCCTAGAAGTTAATAATATTATGCATAATTATCCCCAGTTTAACAATAAGAAAACTGGGAGTAACTCAGTAAACTGAGTTAATAAGTGGCACAATATTGGAGCCTAGGTATTTGAACTTTAAGTTCAGTACTCCTTCCATGAAAGCTTCCCCTCAGATAAATATTAATTTTATATTTAAATGTACAATTTATCTAACTTTTCTAATACATCATTAAATGCAACTAGTATAATTAAGAAACACATATATCTATAACCCAATTCTTTATGCACATTAAATATTATTATTAGAAAAGTATTTTTCATCTATAATTAAATCTTGCATTAAGAAACAGCCAAATCCTAAAAAGACAAATATCAGGTCAAATTCTATAAAGGAAACTTTATATTCATCACTAATTGCTATTGGAAAAATACACTAACAAGTCAAAACCTAGGCAATTGAAAAACCTGGGCAATGAAACATTACAATTGGGGAAAGCTTGTAGCACAAAAGATGTAGTTGGGGAACTTTTGACAAAACATTATTACAGCACTGTTACAATAGGTAATACAAGGAGTCAACCGAAATGTGCATCAATGCTTGAACATACAAAGAAAATAGGGGCCACGCACAGTGCCTCACACCTATAATCCCAGCACTCTGGGAGGCCAAGGCAAGAGGACTGCTTGAGACCAGGGGTTCAAGGCCACCTGGGGCATCACAGTGAGACCTCATCTACATACAATAGAAAAAAAATACGGTATATACACAATGGTATATTATTCAGCCATAAAAAAGAATGAAATCCTGTCATTCACAAGAGCATGGATGCAACTAGAGATCATTACATTAAATGAAATAAGCAAAGCACAGAAAGACAAAAATCACATGTTCTCACTCATATGTGGTAGTTAAAAATCTGGACCTCATGGATATAGAGAATAGAATAGAATAATACATATCAGAGACTAGGAAGGATGGATGAGGAGAAGGGAGAGGATGAAGAGATGGAGGTTAATGAGTACTAACATACAGTTAGAAGAAATAAGTTCTAATGCTTAACAGCAGACCGTATAAGCATAGTGTGACAATACTCAGCAACGATACAGTGTGTATTTCAAAGTAACAGGAAGAAAAGACTTGAAATGATTCCAACACAAAAAAAAAAAGGGTAAATGTTTGAGGTGATGGATATCCTAAACACCCTGATTCAATCAGTACATATTATATAGTATTGAAATACCACAAGCACCTCTGAGTATGGATAATTATCATCTATCAATAGGAAAAACTATTGACAGAACAAAACAAAATTGCATTTTCATTGTGTGAGAATTAATCAGTACAATCAGGCTATAAGGATGCACTTTACCAAAGGTGGTGTGAAAGCATACCAGAGTTAAAAACCACTCAACAAAATATATATTAAGCATCTACTAAGGGTCCAGGAGCTTCTCTCCAAATTTGCCATACCAAGTAGATTAAACTACACAAATAATTTTCTTTCCTAATTTGTTAGATTTTAAATTATACTCAAAGAGCTATATTTGAGATGTAACCACAAATTACTGAAATTAAAACTATATTCTGATATTCTAGTAAGTACAAACAAGAGACATTTCATTTGAGTGATGCCTATTTTAATAATGACTTCTTTTAACATTATATTAATAATTTGCATGAATGGCATTTTATTTTTTATTGCCATTAAATGTAATATTCAAGAAACAACCACTAATCAACAATGATTATCTAATGTTACTGGGGCAAAATTGTGACATGAAGAGGATGTACATGTTCAAAACAAAATTAGCAAACTCAAGCAAAGGAGGAACTGAAACAGTGTTCCAGGCAGCACCATGAGAAACTCGCTATGTCCAATGTACACACAATCACAGTGAGCATCAGTCAACGGTATAACCTGAGAAAGGAAACCAAGAGTAGAGAGAACACTGCTTCTCATAACACATCATTCTTGTGGATTATCATATACATCTATACAAAATGTA